GTGTGTGTAACCGTGTGTGTAACCGTGTGTGTAACAGTGTGTGTAACCGTGTGTGTAACCGTGTGTGTAACCGTGTGTGTAACCGTGTGTGTAACCGTGTGTGTAACAGTGTGTGTAACTGAGTGTGTAACCGTGTGTGTAACCGTGTGTGTAACCGTGTGTGTAACCGTGGCAGTGTGTTGGTGTTGAGACGCCTCAGTCCTTCACGGCTTTAAGGAGCATTAACAGTCCTCATGAAGACACAGAGCCAGACACGCTGAACACAAGCTGAGCCACAGTCAGAGATGGCAACACACATCCTTTACTCGAGTAGAAGTACACTCATCCTTTACTCAAGTAGAAGTACAGATACTGGTGTTTAAAAATACTCTGGTGAAAGTAGAAGTACTGACTAAACTTCTTTACTCAAGTCAAAGTAAAGAGGGCTTTGAAATGTACTTCAGTAAAAAGTACCCATAACTAGCAGCTGTTTTAAAGAGTACCTGACCTCCCTTTATATTAATAGAACAATAATGTCATTGTTAGCTAATGAATGTTTCCATGCTGAGAAATGATGGGATGCTCCTTATCTTAACCCTCAGTGGGTCACAAATGACCCTCTGAGGTGGTTCTCTTGAAGCATCTTTGTAATTACATTTTTTCTATAATTTCATATTCCAGCTATACCTCAAAAAACATGTTTTTGATATCATGCCATTTCTATGGGAACCTTTGATTCTCATCACCTTTTGTGTGTGTGTGTGTGTGTGTGTGTGTGTGTGTGTGTGTGTGTGTGTGTGTGTGTGTGTGTGTGTGTGTGTGTGTGTGTGTGTGTGTGTGTGTGTGTGTGTGTGTGTGTGTGTGTGTGTGTGTGTGTGTGTGTGTGTGTGTGTGTGTGTGTAGAGGAGCTGCAGGCCCTCAGCTCTCAGCTGCTGCTGCTTCAGGCTCAGCTTCAGTACGAGCGCTTCAAGAGGCAGCAACACGCCGTGAGGAACAGACGACTGTTGAGGAGAGTGTTGAGCAGCACAGCTATGGAGGAGGACGCTGTCTCCATGGTGACACACGCACACACACACACACACACGTTTATTCAGTGGCTGTTTCTTTTCTGCCGTACTGTATTTTTATTTAATGTCATTTATGTTTCCTATGTAGTTCTTTCTTTTTCAGGATTAATGTTGTGTGTGTGTGTCTCTCTCTCTGTGTGTGTGTGTGTCTGTGTGTGTGTGTGTGTGTGTACGTGTGTGTGTGTACGTGTGTGTACGTGTGTGTGTGTGTGTGTGTGTGTGTGTGTGTGTGTAGAAGGGGCAGCTGTGTCTGCAGGATGAGGAGATCTACTCTCTGAAGTGCAGTCTGCAGGAGGAGCAGAGACGATACACACTCCTGCAGCAGGACACACACACACACACTGAGCAGATGCACACACACATCCAGCAGCTGCTGCTGCAGCAACAGGAGGTGCAGAGAGACACACAGAGACTCAAGGTACACACACACACACACACACACTCTGGATACACTCTTTGATACAATACACACACACAGATACAACACGCTCGATACACACTCTGTACACACTACATACAACACACTCTGTACACACTACATACAACACACTCTGTACACACTACATACAACACACTCTGTACACACTGTACATACAACACACTCTGTACACACTGTACATACAACACACTCTGTACACACTGTGCAAACAACACACTCTGTACACACTACATACAACACACTCTGTACACACTACATACAACACACTCTGTACACACTACATACAACACACTCTGTACACACTACATACAACACACTCTGTACACACTGTACATACAACACACTCTGTACACACTGTACATACAACACACTCTGTACACACTACATACAACACACTCTGTACACACTACATACAACACACTCTGTACACACTGTACATACAACACACTCTGTACACACTACATACAACACACTCTGTACACACTACATACAACACACTCTGTACACACTACATACAACACACTCTGTACACACTACATACAACACACTCTGTACACACTACATACAACACACTCTGTACACACTGTACATACAACACACTCTGTACACACTACATACAACACACTCTGTACACACTACATACAACACACTCTGTACACTCTGTACACACTTATATATACTTTATATAAACTTTACAAACTATTTATACACCAATACTCATTTTATACCGAATTGATATAATCTTTCTGCTCTCTGATTGGCTGTGTTAACCCCCCTGCTCTCTGATTGGCTGTGTTAACCCCCTTCTCTCTGATTGGCTGTGTTAACCCCCCTGCTCTCTGATTGGCTGTGTTAACCCCCCTGCTCTCTGATTGGCTGTGTTAACCCCCCTGCTCTCTGATTGGCTCCAGAGCGAGTTGCAGGAGGGTCAGAATAGGCTGAGGGAGCAGGAGGCGGAGCTTCAGAGAGCCAATAACAAGGCTTCCCATGCAGAGCACCAGCTGACCCAGCTGTCACTCAAGGTGAGATCCTCCTCAATAATATCATAATAATACCTTATAAAAAACAGCAGTTTGTATAATGTGTGTGTGTGTGTGTGTGTGTGTGTGTGTGTGTGTGTGTGTGTGTGTGTGTGTGTGTGTGTGTGTGTGTGTGTGTGTGTGTGTGTGTGTGTGTGTGTGTGTGTGTGTGTGTGTGTGTGTGTGTGTGTGTGTGTGTGTGTGTGTGTGTGTGTGTGTGTGTGTGTGTGTGTAGCTGTGCAGCAGTGAGCAGCTGCAGCAGCAGATCTACCTGTTGAACCAGCAGCTGGTCCTGATGAGAGAAACCAACAGAGCTCTGAGGGAACAACTGGAGGGGGGGGGGCATGCACCGAGGCACGGTGAGGACACACACACACACACACACACACACACACACACACACATAAGGGTCTATGAATCTGTATAAAAAAGAGATGAACAGTGTGTTTCCAGAAGAGTAACCGCAGCTCTGTTCTGAGACGTCCTGTTCAGTGTTGTGTTCAAAGACCACACGTTCCTCTAAGCGCTCTGTACTGTGTGTGTTGGTCAGGAGGCGTCCATGCTGCAATGCACTGTGGGTAAAGAGCACCAGCGGCTGAAGGACGGTGACATCATACAGAGACAGAAGCTGGAAGCAGCCAATCACAGAGCAGCAGAGCTGGAGGTTCAGCTGGGCAGGAAGGAGCAGCTGATCCTGGATCAGAAGAAGCTGCTGGAGGACTCCAAGGCCCGCAGCAGGTACAGGAAACACTGACATAACATCTGACCCTGAAGGCAGCATCGCCCTCCTCCAATGGGATTCCTCCGTGTGATTTTGGATTAGTCAGAAAATAATGTCTGTGTCGAACAAACGTTAATGATACTTATGTGTGTGTGACTGTGTGTGTGAAGTTTATTTAAATGTACAATTTAATATAAATTAGTAAAGTAAAAGTGTGTCCTGAAGAATTCCATATTACCTGAGGTGTAATGACTCAAACTGAGCAGCAGGGGGAGCTGTTTACCTGCACACGCACACACACACATGCGCACACGCTGTTCTGTGAAGAAGTCAATAACCCATAATTGTGTGTGTGTGTGTGTGTGTGTGTGTGTGTGTGTGTGTGTGTGTGTGTGTGTGTGTGTGTGTGTGTGTGTGTGTGTGTGTGTGTGTGTGTGTGTGTGTGTGTGTGTGTGTGTGTGTGTGTGTGTGTGTGTGTGTGTGTGTGTGTGTGTCAGAGCGGAGTTGTCGGCCTGTGAGAGTCGCTGCCTGGTTCTGAGGAGAGTCGTTCAGACGCTGCAGACGGAGACGCTCCACCTGTACAGCCAGCTGCACCTGGACACACACACACACAGCCGGCCTCAAGACGTCAGGTACACATCAACACACACACACACACACACACAGCAGGCCCCAGGACGTCAGGTACACATCAACACACACACACACACATACACAGCAGGCCCCAGGACGTCAGGTACACATCAACACACACACACACAGCAGGCCCCAGGACGTCAGGTACACATCAACACACATACACACACAGCAGGCCCCAGGACATCAGGTACACATCAACACACACACACATACACAGCAGGCCCCAGGACGTCAGGTACACATCAACACACACACACACACAGCCGGCCCCAGGACGTCAGGTACACATCAACACACACACATACACAGCAGGCCCCAGGACGTCAGGTACACATCAACACACACACATACACAGCAGGCCCCAGGACGTCAGGTAACATCAACACACACACATACACAGCAGGCCCCAGGACGTCAGGTAACATCAACACACACACATACACAGCAGGCCCCAGGACGTCAGGTACACATCAACACACACACATACACAGCAGGCCCCAGGACGTCAGGTAACATCAACACACACACATACACAGCAGGCCCCAGGACGTCAGGTACACATCAACACACACACACACACACACAGCCGGCCCCAGGACATCAGGTACACATCAACACACACACATACACAGCCGGCCACAGGACGTCAGGTACACATCAACACACACACATACACAGCAGGCCCCAGGACGTCAGGTACACATCAACACACACACACACACACACAGCAGGCCCCAGGACATCAGGTACACATCAACACACACACATACACAGCAGGCCCCAGGACATCAGGTACACATCAACACACACACATACACAGCAGGCCCCAGGACGTCAGGTACACACAATCACACAATCACACACAATTCTGATAATCTTCTGTTCATGTGATGTCATGATGTGGTCATATGATGTGGTCATGTGATGTTATGTGGTCATGTGATGTGGTCATATGATGTGGTCATGTGATGTGGTCATGTGATGTAGTCATGTGATGTTATGATGTGGTCATGTGATGTGGTCATGTGATGGAGTCATGTGATGTTATGTGGTCATGTGATGTGGTCATGTGATGTGGTCATGTGATGTCATCATGTGATCTCTCTCTCCTCCAGGCCTAACGGAGGCAGTGTGGCCCTACCTGCGCCTCACAAGCCCCGCCCCTTCTCTTCTTCTGTGGGGATAATAAACGGCGGCACCCTATCCTCCTCCCCCCTCTCCCTCGCCCTCTGCTCCTCCCCCCTCTCTCTCTCCCCCATCGACTCCCCCCTGGCCGTCGGGTCGTTCCTGGAGCAGAGAGCCCGCCAGCTGTTCAGACCGACCAATCACAGCGCAAAGGAGGAGGAGGAGGAAGGAGAGGAAGAGGAAGATGAGGTCCAATCAGAGGGCTCGATTCTGGGTCAGGAGGCTGAGGAGACCTCCCCCCTCACAGGGAGTCCTCAGACGCCCCGAGTAGCTCCGCCCCATGTAGCTCCGCCCCCTGTAGCTCCGCCCCCCGACCTGACGCTCGCTGTGAGGCAGCGCCGCCACGAGCTGAGCATCATGGACTACGACGAGACGCAGCCCGACTTCTGACAGCAAACACAGCTGACCTCTGACCTTTCTGTACTCAGGGCCGTACATTAATCTGGTTAATTACAGCCGTTTGAACCCAGAAGCAGCAGGTGGTGCTGTGACTCAATCATCACGTATAAAACACGCCTCCATCAGGACCGTCTGTCCACACGACAACAAGCTAACAGCTTTTAAAACGCTGCTCTCTGAAGGCAGTGAGGTGGATGAGGGCTATGCTAACATGTAGCTGCTCCATGTAGTCCAGCTGAGACGCTTCAACCAAACGAGCTCTCAGGAAGGTAAACCAGCACCTGTGGCAGCTGTGCTGAAGCTCATCAATTAGCTGATAGCTCATTAGCCCGCTTCTGCTAATGAGCTACTTTTGGTTAGCAGATTCAAGTTAGCTAGCTTAGAAAATAGCGGCTACTGTTTTAAATGTTATCATGAACTTTATCTGAGGTTAGCATCACATTAGATTAGAACTGATCCAATAAAGGAAACCAAAGTGCCAGCAGAGCCTTTACTGACGCTAACACTGATTAGCTAACAGTGATTAGCTAACAGTGATTAGCTAACACTGATTAGCTAACACTGATTAGCTAACAGTGATTAGCTAACAGTGATTAGCTTATCAGTGTTGCTCTGCGTTAAGACATGAATAAGGGAAGGAATCTGAGAAATAACCCTTCGTTAGTGTCGATGAATCTACAAAGAAGCTAACAGCTGCTACGCTAATCACAACGTTAGCTGTTTCTGGAGCTTTAACTACCTCGCAGCCATTGATGATTGATTCTTTATTGATCCTGTGCACGACATTAACATGGAAGCAGTCCCTCCAAAAAGGCTCATCAAATATGGATCAAATGTTGTGTAAAATAATGTATGACATATCTCCACTAACCCTAACCCCACACACATTAAACATCACTGGTGCTTAAACCCAAGTTAGAATAAGGGAGGATTTATAACTTACATTAAAAAAATAGTATAACTTAATGAATGTAAACATAAATGTTGTGAATGTTTTGAATGATAAGTACAAATATATATATATATATGCAAACGTTGAGAAACAGTAAAGAATATAAAAGCCTTAAACGTCAGTAAACTGATCCCAGAGCAGCCTTACCGTCTCTCAGGTTCACAGAAGCCCTGATCCCAGAGCAGCCTTACCGTCTCTCAGGTTCACAGAAGCCCTGATCTCAGAGCAGCCTTACTGTCTCTCAGGTTCACAGAAGCCCTGATCCCAGAGCAGCCTTACTGTCTCTCAGGTTCACAGAAGCCCTGATCCCAGAGCAGCCTTACCGTCTCTCAGGTTCACAGAAGCCCTGATCTCAGAGCAGCCTTACTGTCTCTCAGGTTCACAGAAGCCCTGATCCCAGAGCAGCCTTACTGTCTCTCAGGTTCACAGAAGCCCTGATCCCAGAGCAGCCTTACCGTCTCTCAGGTTCACAGAAGCCCTGATCCCAGAGCAGCCTTACCGTCTCTCAGGTTCACAGAAGCCCTGATCCCAGAGCAGCCTTACCGTCTCTCAGGTTCACAGAAGCCCTGATCCCAGAGCAGCCTTACCGTCTCTCAGGTTCACAGAAGCCCTGATCTCAGAGCAGCCTTACCGTCTCTCAGGTTCACAGAAGCCCTGATCCCAGAGCAGCCTTACCGTCTCTCAGGTTCACAGAAGCCCTGATCTCAGGGACTTTCTCTTGAACAGGGGAAAGGTGTGTTGTAATACTCACTTCAGCCAGGAGAGGCACTGCGCCATGTTCTGAATACTGAGAGGATCTGATTGGCCTAAAGAAAGACATCAAACCTTCACACATTATGATGAGTGTTTGCTGTAGGAATGAAACCTGATCTCAGCTGCAGAGCACGAGGCCGTGCTGCCCTTCAACCCCCTGTGGCCAGTGTGAGTATTACAACAACAATCACTTCTTATCGTGCTGTTCTTTTAACCTCTTAAATCCTAACCGCCCGAGATCCATTCGCTTGGGGTCTCCGGCCTCCGTGCAGGACGTCAGAGTAACAGACTACTCTCAGCCTGGCTTAGAATCGTTTAGTGAAAGAAGGAACTGCTGCTTCCAGTCCTCATGCTAAGCTAGGCTAACTGTGGCTCTGAACGCCTCATCGTCCCTCAGAATAAAGATTTATTTTTCAAAATGAAATGTCAGACTGAGCTTTAGGATGAGTTCCAGTTCAGGAAGTTCCTCTGTTTGTCCTCAGCGAGACTCTTTACTGTGAACGACTTCCTCTCTGTGTGTGATCACCTCAATAAAGATGATGCTCTGTTCACTCTCTGCTCTGTTTGCACACACACACACACTGACACACACACACACACACACACACTGACACACACACACACACACACACTGACACACACACACACACACTGACACACACACACTGACACACGCACGCACACACACACACACACACACACACACACACTGACACAAACACACACACACACACTGACACACGCACGCACACACACACACACACTGACACACGCACGCACACACACACTGACACACACACACTGACACACACACACTGACACACACACACACTGACACACACACACACTGACACACACACACACTGACACAAACACACACTGACACACACTGACACACACTGACACACACACACTGACACACACACACTGACACACACACGCACAAACACACACTGACACACTCACTGACACACACACACAGGGATGTGCACAGCCATTTGGGGGGGCGGGAGCTGAAGTCAGAAAAAGGGCACTTCCAAGTATCATTTCTAAAAATGTGTTTTAAAACAAAAAGTTGTAGTGCGGAGAGATAGGAGTCGGAGGCGGTGCATCGAAGGTGCAAATGGGTACTTTAATGAGCAACAGAAATAGACATGTTGTCGGGTCGCAGCCCAGGAAGAGAAGAGAAAGCGAAAGGGAGGGCACGCAGTAAGTACCAACAACATATGTGTCCGTGTGGAAACAATACCCCCAACCTGTAGTTCCATGATTGGATTATGTAACCCCAGTGTATGAATCAGTGATCACTACACAAGCCCCCCCAGAATTCAAACATGGCACAATCCTCGCGGGAGGAAGCACCACAGGGGCCGAGGAGGGCGGGGCCGCAGGCGAGGGCCGGGGCATGGAACGGGCCGTCGGCAGGGGGCCGCAGGAGAGGTCAGGGGCCCAACGAGGGCGAGGGCATCCCCATCGGTGGGGGGCGGGCCGGAACGGGCCGTCGTCAGGGGGCCGCAGAAAGCAGGGTCGCTGTGCTGCGACGTGGGGACGGGCGTGAATAACCCGGTGGTCCCCAGCAGGGAGGAGCGCTGCCCGGCCGCAGGCAAAGGCACAGCGGCGGCGGGTACGAAGTCCTCGGGAGGAGGGAGCCGTGGACAGGGGAGAGGCCAGACGGGGCGCCGTCCGAAGCCGCCGTCGAGGCGAACCGTGAGCCGCGGTTAGAGGAGAGGCCAGGCAGGGTCCAGAAGCGCGCCACCCACGGGCCGAAGAAGGCATGGGCGACGTCCGAAGCCGCCGTCGAGGTGGTGAAAAAGCGAGAGGGTCCACACGAGGCCGACCAGACATGGTCGAACCTCCTCTCAGGCACCAGCAAAAAACTCAAAAGGGTCGTTCTGTCCACGATCAAAAACAGATGGACGAAGTTGTGAGAGGATCCACACAAGGCTGACCAGACTTGATCGCACCTCCTCTCCGGCACCACAAAAAAAAAAAAAAAAACAGTCGGATGTCGATAGCCAATGGATGTCGTTAGCCGCTAGCTGCTAGTCGTTAGCTGTCGTCGTTAGCCGTTGGTAGCTGCTAGCCGTCAGCTGTCGTGGCTAGCTGTCGTTAGCCGTTGGTAGCTGCTAGCCGTTAGCAGTCGTGGCTAGCCGTTCTCGACGGCCGCTAGTCGCTGTCGTTGTCGTCGGCCCCGGAGCCTCTGCTAGGCGGCGTGCCCCCACCAGGGAAGGTGCTGCAGCGTGCAGTGGCAAGCACCTCCGGGGTAAATCGCGGGGCGGCCAGGAAGAACCGGCTAGCTTCTTCGGCTAAAGCGCGGGGCTCAACACTAGCCGTGTTAGCTAGCGCAGCCTGGACATGCAGCCGCATGTGCAGAAGAAACAGCTCCACGAGGTAGAAGTCGGGTTCCTCCATACCTAGCAGGTCGTGCATCGTCTCCTCGTAGTAGGAAGGCTTGCTGTCTTCCAGTGCCGAGACGAAGCGGGAATGGCGGGCGACGTCCTCAGCCATTCCGCGGGGCGCACCGAGCCGGCTTTTTCGCCGTGTTCGGTTCAGTCTCGGATCCTTCGCGAGACTTATGTCAGGGTCACCAATGTAGTGCCGAGAGATAGGAGTCGGAGGCGGTGCATCGAAGGTGCAAATGGGTACTTTAATGAGCGACAGAAATAGACATGTTGTCGGGTCGCAGCCCAGGAAGAGAAGAGAAAGCGAAAGGGAGGGCACGCAGTAAGTACCAACAACATATGTGTCCGTGTGGAAACAATACCCCCAACCTGTAGTTCCATGATTGGATTATGTAACCCCAGTGTATGAATCAGTGATCACTACAAAGTTAAATATAGTTGCACATCTCTGACTTACTGACCAATTTATATATACCTCAATACCCTCACACTCACGCTATTGTTTCATGCTCAACAGAATTCTACAGAATAATCAGCTAACACAGAGACAATGGTCTTCTTTAGTATTCACTACGCACAAGAGCAGACAACAAACTAGATGAATTAATAGTTATTAAATGAGCAGAAAACCATCTGTGTTTAAGCTGATTTTTGGAATAGTCCAAAAATCAGCTCTAAGTTCTAACCCTATCGTCTATTCCTTGACCTCTGAGTGAAAGGTCACGGGGTTAAGGGATAGTGGATAGGAGAATTCAAAAGGACTTAGGAGAAGAGACTGCACGTTCACTATCCGACGTGTTATCATGGCTGCCACTGAGGGACTTCCGGGTCATTTCACTCCGTTAGGAAGGTTCCTAAACTAAATGGACTATTCGACCGCAACCCTGCTCTGGAGGCTCGCCTACATGAGACGTTGAAATCTCGCGGGACAAAGACGCCCGCAGACTTGAGAGCGAGGCGGCAATACGGGGTGTTTCTCAATGTCGAGTAAAGCTGCTTCAGAGCCACTATTTCAAGCATGCTACGTCATCGAGTGCCTCCGAAGTACTGTTCCAATCTCCAGCATACTTGGAAATCTACCGAGCCCGGGCGTACTCCGTTTGGAGAAATATCGAGGCTGCACATGAGTAGACTCCGCGGTCTTAAAATCCCCACAATGCTTTGCGCACGGACCAATTTCCCCAAATCTGTGGTGGAAGATGTAAGAGGCGGGGCCTCTCATATGACGCACACCTGCACACTTGCTAGCGTGTTCCACTCTTTGTTTTCCAAATGTCAGGAAGTATTCTTGACTCGCTTCTGAAGCAAGATGCTCGGCAGACATGTGCTACCAAGCAAGCGTACTCGCATTGAGAAACACCCACAGTCTAGTGCAGCCGCAGCAAGTACACGACACTACGGTGGCTGAGAGACATTGATACCGTACATGGCAGATTACAGTGGCGAGCCGTGACTTTTCTACCTAGGCCCTCTGACCCCCCCTTCCCTCGAAAAAAAGAAAAAAAAGAAGAGTTATTACGTCACAGCGTATACTTCAGCGGAATATCAGAACAACGGCCCGGGGTGCAAAACGCATCAATGACAGCGACCCTCTAGCACACAGAACAACACCATTTATCACCTATCATGACAGGGCACCCACAGCCAAGTAACAATTAAAAATGAATTAAGTCGGCACGGCGGCCCACATTGAAAATCACTTTGGCTTACCTTTGATGATCATATCACTGAAACACAAAGTCCATCCTCCTGTCCTTTTGTATGAAGAACTTGATGGCGGGGTCATGCAGCTGATCCTTTGCTTTTAAAGCAATCAGCAATTCCTTCTCGATCGAAATTAAGGCCAAGTCTGACAGTCGGACTTGCCCAGTCGTGGACCTCGAGTAGCTTTTTATGCGCTTCAGCGCAGAGAATGACCTCTCCACAGAGGCAGTGGACACAGGTATTGTCAGGATGATGCATGAGAGGGTGTACACCTGCTTCATGCTTTCACTCAGTCCTTTTTTTAGGAGAAACTGATGAATGCCGGCTGGGCTTTTCCCCAAAATGTCAGACATGCCGTACATCACGGCGAGTTCCGTGTGCAGTCGAGGCTGGTCGAAATATCCGCCATAGCTCTCCATCAAACTGTTCAAGGCAGCAGTTGGGAAATAGTTACAGTAATGCCCGAACTGTTGCGGGTCCAGAAGGGCCAGGAATTCCAGCTTTTTGTGGTCACTGAAGCGGTTGGCAATCTGGGTTAGCAGGCTGTCAATTACGCTGCAGTGGAGCTCCCTGTACCGTGCGCGAACGTCTCCTTGAGCTCCACGGCCGCGCGGAGGGCCAACCAAAGCCTGGGTTTCATCGTAGACGCTGTCAAAGTTCCCCTTCTCCTGTTCAATTTGTCGCTGTAGCTGATCCACTCTGGCCAGGCAGAACTGCATATCAAAACCTTTGTTCTGAAGTATTTGAAAAACAACATCCGAGTAGGAGAAGATAGCGTGGAAGGTTTTCAACCAAAAGCTGAAATCGAAGCTGGTAAGGAGGGTGATGTATCCATCAGAGCAATGAACAGTTTCGTCATCAAACTCTGTGTGATGGTCTACGATGTGCTCGAACACCTACGAGAGTAATGCTTAGTTTAGAAAAAACAACTTATAGACCTCCAGTAAACACTAACATTAGCTTTTCATTTAATGTAATACTAGCATAGTTCTTTACCTTCATGTTTTTATGAGTGGGTAGTTTCCAACACTATATCATTTCTTTATTATTGTTAATATTTTCATTACGGTCATTATTATTATTATTATTATCTTACCTCTCTCAATTCCCTGGTCTTCTCTGCCACTGTGCACACCAAGCGAGAATGAAAGCACCAGCGAGTGGGAGCTGCCCGTGGAAGCCTATGCTGGCAAATATCATCCAGGAGCTTGGTGCGCTTTGCTGAGCGGCTGAAAAAGGTGGCCAAGCCAGAGAGGTGTGAGGAGAAGACCTTACACTCTCTTATCTTGGAAGCTCCCTTTGACAAGACGAGATTTAAGATGTGAGCATAGCAGTGAATGAAAAGGGCCTGTGGAATTGTTTCCTTAACTTTCGCTTGCACCCCATTCAATCCAGAGGCCATAACAGCTGCTCCATCGTAGCACTGCGCGACCACTTTGTCAATACAGCCACTCTCCCTCAGGAACTCCAGCAGCCGTGTAGCTATGGCCTCTGCTCGTTTGTCCTCTGTCACATCTTCGTACTTGAAGAAACGCTCTTTTATCCCATCTTCAGTGACATATCGAAGCACATATGACATCTGTGCCACGTTGCTAATGTCTGTTGTTTCATCCAACATGACCGCGACAAAAGGTGCCTTCCTCAGCTCCTCTTTCATGCTATCCGTCATTACACTAGCGACAGCGCTGATCAGGTCATTCTGAATCCTCAAAGACGTGCCGGCAAAGACTGTTGATGTGGCGAGGTGTGTGTGCAGGTCGCTGTCATATTCTGCCACTAAATCCAGCAACTCTATGTAATTCCCCTTGTTTGATGAAGTTACATTCTCATCGTGACCTCGGAACGGCAACTCCTGCTTGCCTAAGTACACCACACAATTTATGAGGCGTTTCAAAATTCCTCGGTTCCTCTTCACCTTTTCATTATGAATGATGACACCCCGGCGTTGTTGCTCATCCAGCTGGAGCTCTATCCTGGTGTCCCCAAATGTTTTAAGGCGAATAGTAGCTCTGAGGTGACCTGAAGCATTCTGGTGGCGATGTGCTGATTTGGATAAACTTCCTAAATCAGAATATCCATCTTTGGCCCATGACCCACTGTCCGCGCCAAAAAGCAAGCAATCCCAGCAGTACAGCTTTTGTTCCCTGGTTGATCCGGTCATCCAGTTGTATCTGGCGTAATTGCCGATATTAAAATGCCTCTCGAACCGTTTGGTTTTTTGAACTAAATGAAGCTGTGGTGTTGGTCGCCCTTTGGAAATTAACTCCAATTTATCAGTGTAACTCATTCTTGAAAAAGACTCGGTTAGTAGTTTCGCAACGATGTCATCACTGACGTGAGCCATCGTGAATGAACGTATGCTAATTAGCTACTTCCGCCTAGCTTGACCGTTGTTATAGCACATGCATAAACTTGGCAGCGCAGCGGGCGGAACTTGTCATACAGTCCGTGATAATAAAGCCCACCCATTTAGAGGGAAGATATGATTGGTCAATTGTACTGTCATTTGACATTACTCTCTCGTTGTTTTACTATAGCGGGCCCTCTGTGAATCGCAGAGAGGGCCAGACGCGGTTCTTTCATGAAACCCTTCACATTCAACAGAGACTGAACAGGCAGATTCCAAGGATTTATTTCTTTGGAAATGTTTTGTTAAATACAATTAAAATCAAGTTTTTTTTGGTAAAACTAATGGAAAATATAAAAAAAATAATATTAAAAATATATATATTTAAAAAAAAAATATATTTTTTAAATGTTTTCAAATATTATTTTCTAGAATATGTTAGGCCCTCACAGAGGGCCTAGAGGGCCCTGACGGCTCGCCACTGGCAGATTAAAAACGAATTGCAAATGTTATTGTAGCATTTTAAGCAACTATTAGGCAAATTAATGAATAATCTAGTCTATCCGTTTGAGACACAACAGTATATGACTTTAAGCACAAATCATTTTGTCTAATTAATAAATTAAAACAAAAAGGAGGCTTAGTAAACTTTATTGTTTAGTACACATAAAATAGGTAATAATGAGATCTATTAATTATGTTTGTCTAACTGCTACACATGCATTTATACATAAATGTAGATATTTATGAACATCTAAATATAGTTGTTACAGGTTTTAAGATATAAATAATCACATCATGGGGTCATTAAGGTTTCAAACAGGTTCATGTGAGGTAGGCCTACTATAACATGAAAACATGAGCCTGTAGTTTGGTCTGTTATTGATATGGGCTGGACACCCCTTCACAGCGATCATCATTGACTTTCTTTAGACCAGAGTAGGAGGGCCAGTCAGGCCACTAATGAGCTCAATCATTCACATGTATTATTACTTTATAAATTAAGAGTACTAGGGGTCTATTTCAAAACCTTTGAAGGAATCGTCATTCATTCTGAATGTTTCTGTACTTTAAAAACATCATGGCTCAAGATCCTGTTCTTGTTCAAGATTATTCACTCATTTGTGAATTTAACATCCATATTCACTCAAAGCTGAAACAACCTGAAAGCATTGCAGGCCTAAAGCTCCACGTCAGTGACCTATATTTAAATTCTTCCATCAAACTTTAAAAATGGCAAACAGCATGTTTTTAAAGATTTAATCTTTTAAGAAACAAAATATCAACTTTGAACAGAAAGGTTTAAAAACACGTTTTTAATGCAAATAAACTTGAAACATAAACCTATTTGTCATTTCAAAATGCACTTGTATTGTCTGCGTGAAAGGCACAGTAGGCTATGAGCGAATACATATCAACATTCAAAAATTACAAAGTCGTACCATATATACCATGTGCTACTGTCTAGGATTAAGTATGGTGAGACTTTTCAGCCCGTGACCCCCAACATAACAGTGCCAGAGACTGGCGACCCGACGGGATCGTGATCTCCAGTGTGCTGGGCAGTGTGGCGGCGGAAGGAGCCGAGGGCACCACCGGAGGAGAGGCGAGCGATGACCGCAGCATCACCGTGGTGCAGATAGGGCAGAACAGGGAGTACCTGGGCACGGCCCGCCCCCCCCCCCGCACAGACTGAGGGGACTTGTTACACGGAGCCCATCACCGGGGAAGCTGCCGGACCGAGAGTTTGATCCTGCCTGCGGCGGCAGAAGGCGGTCTGCTCGGCCTGCACTTGGCTCTGGCGTCCCTCCTTAAACAAATAAATAAAAACCTTTTAAATAAAACATTCAACAGATAAGATTTGATCATTTATTTTAAACGTCAGGCCGACAGCATGGCCACAAACCCCATCTACAAACAGAGGCTCTGTCCTCATTACCTGATTGCATCCACCTGGGTTACTTGGCTCAACCAAATCACTTTATATAAGTTTACTTTAAACCACACTTAAAATAATATAATTATACATAATGTAGGCCTACATGTCTACAGTATAGCAACTAATACATGTTTTAAATAAATAAATATTCAAATGTGAAAGACACCTTCAATGAATATTTAAAACTTACACAAAATCAGATTCTTGTAAAAATTAGAGTACATGCATTGTTCCATCTGATATACATATATCTTAGCTTAGCTAAGATACATATATCTAAGCTAAGATATATGTATCTTAGCTAAGATATATGTATATCTTAGCTAAGATATACATATATCTTAGCTAAGATACATATATCTTAGCTAAGATATACATATATCTTAGCTAAGATATACATATATCTTAGCTAAGATACATATATCTTAGCTAAGATATATGTATCTTAGCTAAGATATATGTATCTGTTGTTGTTTTGTGTCAGTTTCACGTCGCCACTTCCATTCACATTTTTCATCATTGTTCCACAATGTTTATCATCATTAAATTAATATCTATATATTTTATACTATACTTGCACTGCTTACCGTTGTCATACTTTATATATCTTAGCATATTCATACTGCTCACAGGCTGCTGTGTACACTCTTAAAACTACTGGGTTAAAAAATAACCCAATCATAACATATTTCTGAAGCAATATAGACTTTTCTGCCCTGGTGTTGAATGGTAAAAACAAGGCGTGAATTGTATAGCCTATTATAATCACAGGAAGTGTTGTGACATCTTATCAGAATCTGAACCTTTATTGTCACTTCAACAGGTAAATTATTAAATTATTACAAAGTATATACTGTAGGGTCTAAGTGGTTAAACATAAACTTGTAGGGCATTGCAGAGGATCAGTCAAATTGTCACGATCTGTCTGTGTTGTGTTTTGTCATGTCTAGATCTGTCTTTGGTTTCCTGTTTTATTTTGAAAAGTGTTCACCCCCCCCGTCTTGTCTGTTGCTTCCTGTCTCTGTGTTCCCTCCTGCCTGATAACCCGATTGTGTCACTATGGCTGCGTCTCAGGTCGATTAAATGGATTCCTTGCGTCCCTCTCTTGCGTGGTTTCCCTGCGTCCCTCCCACCAGGAAGCATGGAGAGACGAAGGAAACCACGAGAAGCAGGGAAATGAGTTTTAAGAGCAATGGGACGTCCTTTCCTCCGGAGCGTCACGTGAAGCGACGTCCGTTTGTGATGACGCCGCACAGCTGATCGTCTGACAGCAGCTCTGTCCCCGTTATTTTCACAAACACCCCGGCCTCTGTTAGTACACATTTACTGACACAAACATTTGTATCATCTGTTGTAGACCCAAATACATTAAATAAGAACTCATTCTCAAAACAGATAAACGCCATTCTTAAAATGTATAAACGAACAATAGTTAGATTAATATTGATTAGAGTGCACAATAGAAATAAAATAATTGAGAGAAGAAAGAGAGATATGTTATCTATCAAAACCCAGTTAGATTAACATTCATTGGATTGCACACTTTGTCTGTTTGTGTGGATATGTAGCACATTAACATGTTAAATAGCACTTAATGACTGACTGAATGGAAATGACAACAAATGAAAATGTAAAACGAAAAAGCGATCATGAAAATGTTTCCAATAAATGAATAAAATAATCTTTGACCACTTAGTTGTTCAGATATATCACATATTTGTAACTGAATGATGCATTCATTGAAACAGAACCCAGTATGAACTGAGGAGTGAGTCCCGTGAGTTTCATGTGTTTTCTTCACTCCGCTGGGAAACTGCTCTCATGTCAAGAAGCATCAGATCAGTGCATGCGCTGCATCGTCCAATCAGTGAGCGATACACAGTAAGGGGGCGGGGCGAGTGGCTGAGGATTTCACCGGAGGATGATCTGGTGGTTCCTCCGTTATCGCTCCTCCATTATCGCTCCTCGCTCCTCGCTCCTCGGTCCTCGCTCCTCCAGCAGAAATAAGAGCCATGGGATGCTACTCAAGATGGCGCAGACAAATCAACTTCCGGTGAGACCGAGACCGAGGAGCGAGGAAATGAAAAATAAGAGAAGTGAGACGCAGCCCTTGTGCCCTGTGTTTTCTCCTCCCTCCTCACCTGTGTTTTCTCCTCCCTCCTCACCTGTGTTTTCTCCTCCCTCCTCACCTGTGTCTTGTCTTCCCTCCTGTGTCTGATTGTGTTCACCTGTTGCCCTTGTGTTTCTGCCTCCCCTGCCCAGCTGTGTCTTGTCCTGTGATTACCCCTCTTTGTATTTAGTCTTGTCTTCCCCTGTGCTCCTTGTCGGTTCATTGTCTTTCCTGTCACCCTCCATGTTTGTCACTGTCGGTTTTTGTCTGGATGCTACCTTGTGCTACCTGTTTATGGATTCATGGTTTTGTTTTGTTTTTTCATTGTCAACAGCTTTTTGTAATTAAAGCTCGCCTTTTGTTACACTTTGAAACCCGCTTTTCCTCAATCTGCATTTGGGGCCTTGCCTCAAATCCTAACACAAATAGAGTATCATTCAAATAGACAAAACCGCAATAGCAAAATAATTTCTTACCATGCCAGGATTGTCTACAAGCCTAGGGAACTCAGTCAACATTTCCGGGAGGCTTTTAGATCCATTGCTGCGAATCCACTTGCCTCTCTGTAGAGCTGTTTGATTCATGTAGTCCTCAACTTGGGACACTGGATACCTATTGACCTTCATCCATTCAACCATTTCTAGAAGTGTTTCAGGAGGCACATCAGATTCTGTTGAATGATAAGTACAGAGGTCCTCAGATTCATTATAGCTGATTTCAAACATTTGGGGTTCTGGCCTAATTGGAGAGTGTGTGATAAGTCGCCAATCGGTCCAGCGGTGCCTGAGACTAGCTTTTAGAAGATGGATGGACAGAAGAGTCATGGGACCGAAAATATAATCCCTTGCATTTGTCCATTCTAGCCTGGCGGGGATAATTAACATTGGTTATTAGTATTACCTGGTGTACTAGGTGTCTGTTCCTCCTGTTGTTCTTGGTGGCGTGGTCGTTTCAGCATTCTCATGCGCTTCCTGACGTTCCTCAAGCGCTCCTCCAGGAAACCTGTAGCAGGTTTGTGATTTCGGCCAGGTGTGTACCAAGCTCCCTGTAAAAGAGAAAATTAGATTCAGCTTAAATTGGCCTGGCGTAAACCGTGAAGATGGTTACATGGGATTTTAAGGAGCAATCCAAACATGTGCGTGTGACTGTGCACGAGGAAAAACGTTTGAGCACATTTCTTTTAGGTGTGTGTGTATGGAGTGTTCTATTTCGTATAAGGCTTCGCCCTCTAAGGCTATCGCTATTGGGTAATCCCACTGCACGTGTGCAGCACTGACAGACTTAATCCACGCCCACCTATGACGTGGGCCCCACCTACGGCCTCACTTCCGTATAAATAGGAAGTAGGCCCGACCATCTGCTCCCATTTTTCTTCAGCACTCCGTTGCAGAAGCACTGGCCCTCTGGCCCTCTGGCCCTCTGGCCCTCTGGCCCTCTGGCCCACAGACAGCGGAGAGAGGACGCTCTCGCTGCTGCGGCCGAGGATGATTGGCTAGTCCAGGAGTCTTACTCCGTGGACCAAGACCTTGATTTATGGGATCCGAGTGGCGGGCAGCAGTCAGGCGACTCCTTCCCCTCCATTCACGGATCACCATGGGGTTCCCCCGGCCCCATCCTCCCTCTCCTCCGGACGGGGGAGACAGGGCGGGGGCTCTGTGTCAGCCCGACATATGAGTTACGACCGGCTGTGGCTGGCTCGCTCCAGGGAGAAAGGAAGCGGCTTTACACAGACGATACAGGTAAGTACTGCCGGGGATGGGAGCACGCAAATGCGGCTCTCACTCCCCAGGTGTCGTGCACTCATTGTGTCCGTCTCCCTCTGGCCCACAGACAGCAGAGAGCGGACGCTCTCGCGGCTGCGGCTGAGGATGATTGGCTAGTCCAGGAGTCTTACTCTGTGGATCAAGCCCTTGATTTATTGGATCCGAGTGGCGGGCAGCAGTCAGGCAACTTCTTCCCCTCCATTCACGGATCACCATGTGGTTCCCCCGGCCCCATCCTCCCTCTCCTCCGGACGGGGGAGACTGTCAGCCCGACAGCCGAGCCTATGGGTTCGGCTGCCGGGCTGACACCGGGTCACCAGGTCCCTCTATCCGCCATCTCGGCTCTGCCGTATAGGCGGTATTCTCCAGGAACTCCCGGAGATCATTGGAAAGGCAGCCGCCTAATGAGATCTCCCCGTTCCCCCGGTTCAGGAGAGCTCTCCTCCGGATGACATAAAAAAGCTGTATAAGCGGCTGCCTCATAGCCTGTCGGTTATTAGGCAGCAGGGCTCGCGGCACAAACCGGCTGTCTTTAAAACCTGTCGGTTGATTAGACAGCACAGGCTTGTTTCCTATGTCACAGATATACCTCCACACACCTCCGCTCATTCCTCAAGCGGGTTTGAGCGTGAACGCGCCTCAATGTCCGGTTTACGAGCCTTCTCTTAAACGGAGACATGATGAGAGCCGCTGTGCAATACAACGTGTGGAGGTGCATAAGCCAGCTGGGGTTAACCGGTCGGTTAACAGACAGCGCGGCTCGCCGTTTGAGCCGGCTGTAACCTGTCAGTTAGCAGGCAGCAGGGCTCGCGGCACAAGCCAGCTGTATTTAACCAGGCGGTTATTAGAAAGCAGGGCTTGACGTTTAAACCTGATGCTCCTAACCTGTCGGTTAGCAGGCAGCACGGTTTTTTCCTCTGTCCCAGATGTGCCTACTACACAGGTCCTAATGAGCCCAGGGCTGTTATTACGCACTGTGTGAATAGCACTGCACACACCTCGCTCATTCCTCAGCAGGGTTGAGCGGGAACGCGCCTCAATGTCCAGTTTACGAGCCTTAACACTCCTAAACAGAGACAGGGTGAGAGCCGGTGTGAGATGCAGCGTGTGGAGGCCCCCTCGCAGCTCTTTCGGTCCGGGCCCCTCTTGGGTTGCGAGGGCTCTGACGTGGCTCGTCACCATGACAACCACAGCACATTCCAGAGCATGTCGCGCGCTCTCAGAGTATTACTCAGAGTGGCGACGCGTGTGTTCGGTGGACAGATGGTTAATATTATGCAGCAAGGCCCACCGGGTAAGCCGGCTGCCCCTAACCTGTCGGTTATAGGCAGCATGGCTCGCTGCATAAATCTGCTGTCTTTAAAACCTATTGGTTTTTAGGCAGCTCGGTTTTCTCGGTTTTTGCTCTCGCTGCTGCTGCTGCGGTCGAGGATGATTGGGCAGTCCAGGAGGTTTACTCCGTGGACGAAGCCTTGAGTCCTGGGTCCGAGTGGAGGGCACAAGTCGGATGACTACGCCCCCTCCATTAATGGATCAAAGGGGCCATTATTACGCCTCGTGGGGACAGCACTGCACACACCTCCGCTCATCCCTTAGTGGTGTTGAGCGTGAACGCGCGGTTTACGAGACTTCTCCTAAAACGGCGACATAATGAGAGCCTGTGTGAAATGCAGTGTGTGGAGGGCTCGGGCGTGGTTTGCCACCAACCACAGCACATCCAGAGAATGTACACCCGGCGCTATCAGAGTATTACTCAGGGTGGCGGCGTGTGTGTCTGATGGACAGATGGATGAGCAGGCGGATGGGCAGAGGGTAGTCTCTGCAGTTCGCCTCTCCCCCCCGCAGTTCTACGGGATACAGGGAACCCTGTCATCCCAGGAACAGTGTCTCGCGCTCCGTGCAGAGCGGCAGGAACTCTGTTAAAGGAAGCCTTTTTCCAGGGTTCCTCAAGGGGAAGAAAATCGGGGGTTTTTACTCCCGCTATTTTCTGGTCCCGAAGGAGACGGGGCGGGGGGAATGAGACCCATCCTCGATCTGTCAGTGTTCAACAAGGGAATGGCCTTTTCCCATGCTGACGATCAATCAGGTGCTGGAGCATCTGTCAAGCCTGGGTTTCATTATCAAATGGAAGAAGAGCTGTCCTCTTCCCTCCCAGGTTATCATTTAACTGGGAGTGGAATTGAACTCAGTCCGCATGAGAGCGCGACTCTCACAGCGGAGAGGGGAGAAAGTGACAGCTCTCCTCCGGCGCGTCACACCCCGCGGGGCGGTGACAGCCCTCTCCGTGATGCAGTTTTTAGACATGATGTCAGCTGGTCACGTGGTGATCGCCCTGGGTCTCCTTCTCTTGAGGAGACTCCAGAGGTGGTTTATTCGCCTGCGCATCGACCCTGTGCGTCAGAGGAGACGCATGGTGTACATTCCTCCTTCCGTGGGTTTGGTTTTAACCTATTGGAAAAATCTCCACGTCTTGTCAGTGGGGGTGCCCCTGAGCAGAGTGACGTCACACACCGCAGTGTTCACAGACGCATCTCTCGCAGGCTGAGGAACGTGCATGTCGCAGGCAGGGGGGGGACAGTGGCCGGTTCACATGTCTCTCCATATAAACGTGCTGAATTACTCTCCGTATGGAGAGTAATTCAGCATTTTTTCGCCCCGTTGCGGTACAATCAACATGTGTTGATTCGAACAGACAACAAAGCAGCGGCGGCGGCCTACATAAATCGCCAGGGAGGTGTACGATCAGCGCAGCTGCTTCACACACCAGAGCATCATACACAGCCAAATGGACAGCGTTGACATGTAGGGAAAAGCCTGGACCCCGTTACGGTCACCCTGCCTCACGTGCTGTCGTTCCTCCAGCTGTTGCTGGACAGGAACTGGCTTATAGCACGGTCAAAACATATGCTGCTGCCATTTCATCTTGCCACGTAGGTTTGGTGTCAGCACGGTGTTAGTCACCCTCTGACAAAACGTTTTCTACGGGGAGTACAGAGACTCAGACCTGTGTCACGCGCTTTGGCGCCTCAATGGGATTTGGCTTTAGTGTTACGCGCACTGAGAAAAGCTCCATTTGAACCTTTAGATCAGGTCCCCCTAAAAGTTCTTGTCAGCCAAAGTAGCTCTGCTCTTGGCTCTGACATCAGCTAAAAGGGGTGAGTGATTTGTCTGCTCTCTCTGTGGCTCCGTCATGTCTCCAGATCCAAGGAGATGGCAGCTCAGCTGTTTTGCGCCTGGTTTTTATGCCAAAAATTATCACAGGTCTCTTTTTTAGATCGAGAGTGATAACTTTGGAGGGTTTTTTTCCTCCTCCTCACACATCAGAGGAGGAAGCCACATCTCATCTCCTCCGTCCCGTGCGCGCGCTGTCATGCTATACGGCATGCGCGGCTGTGTTGCGCAGTTTCCAGCGTCTGTTTGTGCATTACAGAGAGCGCTCAATGGGGCAGCCTCTGTCTGCACAGCGCCTGTCACACTGGCTGTGTGAGGCTGTGTCACAGGCGCATGTCTCCTCTGGGTTGGATCCCCCGGAGAACATCAAGCGCACGGCACCAGAGGAATTGTATCAACCTCTATGGCTTTGCACGGAGGACTGACAGTGGAAGACATTTGCATTGCTGCTTCTTGGTCTTCCCCCTGTTCTTTTATTCGTTTTTATTTGAGGGATGTCTCCCATTCCTCTCTGACACACTCAGTACTGAATGTCCTGTCAGAGTGAGTAATGTCGGGGACTCAACTGTGTGCCCTCTCTCCTGCCTGTCGGCACTCAGAGAGCTGCCCTGTTTCCTCTCTTTTTTCGTTGTAACAAGTGGGACTTTGGTCTCTACTTTTTATAACGACAGGTATTCACCTTCATTCCCTCATGGAGAATATTCATTTTAAATGCTACATTTCCAGGGACTGTGATGCTCCTTTACGCATGGCGCAATGGACATGGGTTATTAAATTGAGTAGGTGTGTTTTTGTGCTCCTGGTAACGGACGGACCAGTGGGGCGTGAACTACATCCTGCTTCGCCCTTAACCCAATAGCGATAGCCTTAGAGGGCGAAGCCTTATACGATATAGAACTGGGGTTACGTACTGTAACCCAGCTTCTATGAGTATAGGCGCAGCCCTCTAAGGTTCGGGCCCCACTGGCTCCGTGAATAGCTGAAGAAAAGCTGTTGGCGTGGGAGCAGATGGTCGGGCCTACTTCCTATTTATACGGAAGTGAGGCCGTAGGTGGGGCCCACGTCATAGGTGGGCGTGGATTAAGTCTGTCAGTGCTGCACACGTGCAGTGGGATTACCCAATAGCGATAGCCTTAGAGGGCTGCGCCTATACTCATAGAAGCTGGGTTACAGTACGTAACCCCAGTTCTCCTTTGTGTTGATTGATTAACTTACATAGCCACTGCCTGTACCATCCAAAAGGCAAGGGAATTCATACATCAATGCCGCGGCAAGGGCTTTCTTTGTGTCTGTGGATGGCCTGTTAAAATAGACGGTAGAAGTTTGTCAAAGAACGATGAGATGAGACAGTAATCATTGTTACAAATATATGACGATTAAAATCCATGAATTGAACACTGAATTGTAATGCGCTTTTAAAGTGCATTTGAGTTCTGCTGTCTATGCACTCCTTGGTTGTTGTTGAAGGTGTGTGATAGCCAGTGTTGGACAGCAACATCGTACATTTACTTTACTGACATTTCTTATCTCATCTGTTTGAAAGTGTATGTTCACGGAATAATTCATATGCGGCTCACTCACGTTTCACCATTGGTTTCCAGCAGGTGAGATACAAGTAGTCTTACAAGTTGCTTTCTCTGCTTGCTGATGATGGAGCGCTTTTCTTCTAAACTCTGTACTATTTCTTTCCCCTGAGTAGTGCCTTGAAGAATCTGACGAATTGCCTATTAAACATAGAATGAATCACAATGAAAAACTGACAAAACTTTGTGAGGACTTTCTTTCCTCAAATGTTTAGGTTCGTAGGTTCAGGATTTGTAGTGCGCCCCCCCCATCCAGTTATTACACTGGCCAGGGGCGAAAAGACAGAACTCAAGTCACACTGTCAGTCAGTCACAACAGGAGGGAGTAGAAACTAAACACACACAACCCACGAACACAAAAACAGCAAGTGAACCTAGGAGTATGTTTTAGTACAAACATCTCATCAAATAACTTGACAATTGTGCAAATACATGTTAAATTAACAAATCGTTGAATAAATTAAAATTCAGTATCATTAGGATTGCATTTTCACTTGGATTTCTTTAGTCAATACTTACAAATGATGGTTGCAGGTTCAAAGTCTCAGTCAGGAGATTACTTGATGTGGACTCCTCCACTGATTCCTCCATTGAAGTGTCTGCAGAACTTGGAGAACCCTCTGCAGAACTTGGTGCGTTAGTGGCAATAGCAGTCTGTAGAGAATCATAGTTAAGTTAAGGGATGATTCCAAAGACTTCTTAAAACATATAGTTGATAGAACAGTCAACTTCAGAATTCTGTCAGCTGTATTTACAGAGACGGGATCAGGCAATGCATCACAAATGTCCTAAATCAATGCTACCCATATGTGAGCAGCTAATCATCAGCACAGCTGGACCGATAAGTGTGAAACTTTGCACGCACACTCCCAGTAGGCTAAGGAAGAACCTCTGCCCCACACTTTTCAAATCGCCTCATGGTGGCAACAGCTCACTTCCATGTTTTGGCCTATAACTCTTGAACCCTTGGTCGTACAGTTTCCCTGCATTGCTTGGCTCATGACTCAACTCCCCATATAAGTCATGACCATTTGTGCTGGACTAGACTTTCCACCAGTGTGCATTTTCTCCAAAACACAGATTTTGAACAAAACTCATACAAATGGTACACATCTCTGCAGCCATGTGATCAAGATGTATCATTCAGATTTCTCATATTCCATTCCAGTTGACTATAATTTACTTTTAAGTTCCTACCGTGGAGGAACTTGTTAGTGATCCCACATGATCAGTCTGGCAATGCCAGGCTAAGCCAATCTGGCCTAGCGGAGATCATTTCTAATTTCTCTCTACACCAAATATCTTTGCAGACAATAGCCAATCTACAAGCTCTCAATGCTTTGTGTTGTAACGCATTGTGAGCTTGAGATCTGCTATTTGCCCAATGTTCACCCCAGAATAGGGTACACAAAGATCAGATGGCCAGAGCACAGAATCTTAACCACTTAAACCCTCTCAATTTAGAAAAGTGTACCTGTATGTAATTGGACCTCTTTTCCGGTCAACACCAAATTTCTACTCAAACTCTCTTCACCAAAAATAGCAGATCTACAAGCTCACAACGCGTTGCAAGACGACACGAAGTTGGAGGAGGTAAGCAGAAAACATTGTCATCTAACTGTGAAGCTGTTAATAAATGTCATCAATTGCTAGTCCATGAGCGATATTGTGGTAACGTTGATAGTTAATTTGTTATTTAGTGTTATTTTTTATCTCACTTAAAAAGCCGAATGAGCCGACGAACATGCTAAAGCTAACTAGCTAGTCTGTGTAACTGCCAGTTAGGGAGATGGTTCAAATATAGGATATCAGGATTGAAAACTAAATGACGGTAGCATTACCCTGAAAAAGTTAAACGAAAAGTGTGCTGCCCTAGGCGCTTATATGTCAGTAATATCAGCCCCTTTTACAAAGGAATGTTGCGCCATTATTCGGCTGCGTCACGTAAATTAGCTGCCAAGCTAGCTGCCATGCGGAGCTGACTGCCACTGTGGTTTTCGCTCGGCAGTTAATGTTATGTGACGGGTGCCGCTCTGCCAGTGTCGGTAGTCGCACTCTCTGTCTCTCCGCTAGCTCTCTCTGCTCAGCATATAGTTATGTTCAGCTCTGTGTCACTGCACCCCCGGGCCAGTAACCTACATGCTGCCTGCACTGCAGTGACAAAGAGCCGGCTGAAAATCGGCAACGTTTCCTTAATATTCCTCGATTTTAAATATTGATGTCCACGCATTTTCAGTAATAATGTTGTCAGGCACTTAATAATAATACGTGTGCCTGTCAGTGGCAAAAACAAGCACTTCAACTTTGAGTAATATAGAATAATGTAACAATTCAGTAGGGATGGGTACCGAGCCCCGGTATTAATCAAAGGAGTCCCGGGAATCCGTTAAGCTCCAATGTTATCAGTCTTTGTATCGGTACTGGAGACATTTAGAATAGAATAGAATAGAATAGAATAGAAGAATAGGGAGGGATGAAACCCTCTTTAATGGTCACACATGCAGAGCACACAGCACACACAGTGAAATTTGGCCTCTGCATTTAACCCATCCTAGTACAAGGAGTCTAGTACCAGGAGCAGTGGGCAGCTATTGTACAGCGCCCGGGGAGCAATGGGAGTGAGGGGGGAAGGGGGGTGTCCGGTGCCTTGCTCAAGGGCACCACGGCAGGGCAGGAGGTGAACTGGGACCTCTCCAAGTAGAAGTCCACACTCCATATTTAGGTCTGGTCGGGGACTTGAACCAGCGACCCTACGGCTCCCAGTCCAAGCCCCTACTGACTGAGCCACTGCCGGACATATGTTAATAATACATATGTTATATGTATTATGCTACACAAACATTATTGTTAAATAAAAAGCAATGTTAATTCTGTTTACAGTTCTGTCATCACATTATTTAATGTGATTTGTTAATTCAGTTTTAAAGCTTAGCACTTAGGCTGGATCCATGTCTTTTAAATTGAAGAACTCTGTTGAATTGGTTTGGATATATCTAAGTAATTCGTCAACTTCTGTCTGATAAGGGGACTGATAAGGTTCGGTGTAAAAAAAAGCAGATGTAATGATGAGTCTTAATTTACAGCAATATTGCGAGTTCTCTGTGTAACTTAACTTTCATGTATGTTGATTGGTCTCTCTCAATTTTTCACAGCAATTCGTGACTGCAAAAGTTCCTGTGGCTGCTGTCCGACCGCAAGAGTGTCCTGTCTAACCGTACCTGTGTCTGCAATCCAACTTCATCAGTGACTGCAAGTAAAAGGTGTCATCTGCCATTCTCAAGTTCATGATTGAAATGTTTTTTTATTTTTTGCTGGTGATTTTGTTTTGGTGGGCAAATGTGGAGGTGTAAGGAGTGTAGTGAATCTCTTTCTGGTAGATATGAGTTACTAAAGCATTTTAGACTACAGCACCGGCATAGGCAACGCTATCCATGCCCACACATAAACTGCCCATGTACATTTAAGACATTTAAATAGAGCCCATCCCAAACAAAACTCTCAGGAGCAGCTGGAATTGTCAATATTCAGTTGTCATTTGTGCACTTCGAGCGATCTTCCTACGGAGAGGGATTATTTTGTACACATTGGAACTCATTTTAAGAGTCATGAGACTGTTCCTTGTATGTTTGTGGGTTGCAGTTTTGAAACAAATATATACGCAACATTTCACTCTCACAAAAACAGGAAACACAAACCGCATACGTTGAAAGATTTCAAGCCAGGTGTAGTTAGAACCACTCTAGTTGCACAAGAATCCTCTGATAATCCTGAGGAATACGCACATAATCAAGATGACTCTGCAGTTGAAGTACACAGTGCTTGTTCAAGTAGTGATGTGGATGTAACTCAGAACTCTTCCAAAGTAATTGAGAAAAACTTTGCTGCATCGTTGCTCAAGTTAGAGCATTTTGCACATGTGCCGGGTACAAAAATTGATGAGTTTTTGGAAGAACTGCACTACTTAAGTTCAGCAACATTGCCCCTCTCCATTAACATTCTTGAAGGTGTATTTCAGAAACAGAGTTCCACAACTGATAAGTCTGTGATAACAGAAGTAGCCACTGCTCTCTGCGCATCAAACCCCTTGCTCAAAGCCATAGGGAAGGGTGGTCCCCTAAGGACATCTTATCTCCGCAATCAGTATTACAAAGACAGCTTTAATGTTATAGAACCCATTGAGTACATACTTGATGCCAAAGAAAAAAGGAGTTTTCAGTATGTGCCTGTACTCAAGTCTTTGCAGCAGCTCTTCCAGAGGAAAGATGTTGTAGACAAGGTAGTTGAAAACCACAGAGTGCAGCAGAGTAATAGGGGGACTGGTGAACAACAGACTTACAAATCTTCCCAGGATGGTTCACACTTCAAGGAAAACGGTTTTCTATCAGGGGATGACTTAAGAATTTTGTTGACTGTATACACAGATGACTTTGAGATTTGCAATCCTCTGGGTACTTCTCGCAAGAAGCATAAGCTTTGTGGAATCTACTGGACTTTGAGTAATTTGCCTCCAGGCTCACATTCATCACTATCCTCGATTTACCTGGCGGTCTTGTGTAAAACTGATGATGTGAAGAAGTATGGTTATGACCGTGTCTTACATCCTCTTCTTCAAGATATGATAACTCTGGAACAAGTTGGTGTTTTCATTCCATTGCTTGGCAGATGTCTTAAAGGCACCATTCAGGTTGTTGCGGCAGACAACCTGGGAGCTCACAGTATAGCTGGTTTCAATGAGAGCTTTTCTGGTGGATATATCTGCCGATTTTGCACAGCAACAAGTACAGACATTCAAACAAAAGAGGTAAAGTCAGGTGCATTCAGTCTAAGGACAAAAGAACTCCATGACTCTCATGTGAAATCAGCGCAGGAGAATGGGGCAAGCTGTTTTGGGGTGAAAAGACATTGTTCCATCACTCAATCTCTTGACCACTTCAGTATTCACACGGGTTATCCTCCAGATATTATGCATGATATTTTTGAGGGGTTAGTGCCAGTAGAGCTTGCACGTTGTTTGGCATTGCTGATATCTAAGAAATATTTCAATCTTGAAACCCTCAACAAATCTATCCTGCAGTTCCCTTATAAGTGGGCAGACAAAACAAACAGGCCACATGTGATCCCACACACATTTTCTAAAAGAAAAACAATAGGTGGGAATGCCCATGAAAATTGGGCTCTGTTGAGACTACTCCCATTCATAATTGGGCATCTGGTGCCTGAGGGTGAAATTGCATGGCAAATACTGTTGGACTTAAAAGACATTGCAGAGCTTGTGGTTGCTCCAACACAAACAGATGAGTCAATTGCCTATCTTGAGGGCAAGATTTCAGAGCACAGACAAAAGTACCAAGAACTCTTCCCTGATGTGCGACTGCTACCAAAGCATCATTATCTGGAGCACTATCCACAACTGATCAGGATGTTTGGTCCTCTTGTGGGCCTCTGGACGATGCGTTTTGAGGCCAAGCACAGTTTTTTTAAGCAGGTTGCGCGACACACCAATTGCTTTAAAAATGTGCCCCTCTCGCTAGCTACTAAGCATCAGCTAATGATTTCCTATCAACTGGTATCATCCAGTTT